CACAGTGGTATCCAGTAAATGCCAAGCCTCGGTCGAGTAGTGAAGAGGAAGGTCAGGGCCCTACTAGTTATATATATATATTACAAGGTAAAAAAAAGTATGAAATGTGACAGTATAATTAAAGATGCTAACAACCAATAAAGATGAAATCACAGAAAGAAATAACTCAGTACACGGAAAAAAACAACAGGGGATCTCCCGGGATACCGTCCCGTAGTCCCAAACGTAAATATGCAGGGGATCTCCCGGAATACCGATTCGTAGTCCCAAAGTAAATATCCAGTACAGGAGAATCTCCCGGGATACCGTCCCGTATTCCCAAATATAAATGCGCAGGGGATCTCCCGGAATATCGATCCGTAGTTCCAAAGTAAATATGCAGGGGGGACCTCCCGGGATATCGTCCCATAGTCCCTAAGTAAACACACAACAGTCTCAAGAAAGAAATCTACAATTCTATTCAAGTTCGTTTCGAGAAACAGGAAATTCTACTCTAAACATGCTACACAAAATCCAAGTAAGAAGTTAGGCAAATAAGACTATACTACATTGATTAAAGTATATAACAACAGGCTTATAATAAAAGAAGAAAACCAGAAAAAAGTACAAAGTGCTCACAAAATTCTATAGTTTTTTTGCCTGCAGACATATACTAAAGGCCACAGACAGGGCCACATGTAGAGCACAACCATAACAAGTTGCAGAAATAGCCATGGACATTTCCCATGTGACCACAACTCCTGTTTTTTTTTTCCACATATACCCTTCATATTCTTCCTAATTTACATCACAGAACATGCATTGGGATTCTCATCACTGAACATTTGTGGAGGATATGGATTATACATTTTCATGAGCTATATCTTTGAGGGTAAACCTGGGTAAACTTCTGTGGGTAATAACGTAGTAAAACTCATTCTTTTTCATTTCTAACTTTGGGTCTTCTTGAACAGCCACCTCTTTACCTAACTCAGCTTCTTCACCGCCGCCTGCTGCAGCGGCGCCGCCATCTCCACCACCCTCTTTTTTCTCCTTGGTGTCTCCCTCTTCACCTTTTTTTGCTTCTTTCTCACCTTCCTCTGCTTTCTTCTCTTCATTTCCTTCTTTGGGTTTTTCCTCTTCTTTCTTTTCTGGTTCAACTTTTACTATAACTGCCCTTTTCCCTGTTCTTTTGCTTACATAATCCACCAATTGTGTTGCCTCAAATACCCCTTTTACTGTAACTTGTGAATTCTTCAAGTCTGGTTCTGCATTCTCCACACCTTCAAAATTAAAAATTTATGGTCAATTTTTTAATACCAGTTGACAGATTCTAAAGATTGCTAAATTAGTTTAAGATATGGACGTGATTAGTAGTTGACAGAATGTATTTGAATTGACTTAAATTTGAATAGATTCTAAAGAATGATTATATTATTCTAAATTAAAGACTGCAGGGATAGTGAAAGATGCAGAGAATATAGAATCCTTAAAATACTGAATACTATTATAGAGATCCGAAAAAGGGAAAAGTGTAACAAAAGCATAATCAGAATAACAATTAGTTAGTTGCACCAAATAAATCAAAAAGTTAGTAATATAATAATTCAAACAAACCCCAAAATGGGAAAAAAGAAAATAAAATCATACCTTTCATTCTTTGTATACGCCTTTTGATTTCTTGAGCACAAGCTTCACAATGCATGTGAACTTTCAGAACTACAATAATCACTTGGGGCGGCTGCAAAACAAACCAGAAATACCATATTTTTTCAGCTTACCTTAAAAACTGATAAAACCCCAGAAAGGGAAAAAGACTAAAGAGAGAAAAAGCATCATAAAAAGAGCGTGAGAGATAAAAAGGAAAAACAATTAAAGATTAAATTAAACAAACCTCCTCTTTTTTCTCTTCGGGTTTAACGACTTCTTTTTCCTCCGGTTTCTTTGGCTCTTCGGCCGGCGGTTTTGGGATCGGAGAAAGAAGCTCAACTTGACGGTGGCTCTTCTTTTGCACTCTCTCTAAAACCTTCAACGGATCTGCTTTTTCCCCTTTTACAACCACCTTATGTGTCTTACAATCCGTTATAACATCCTCAACTCCTACATAAAAACATTCAAATTACAACAAAAAAACCAAAAAAGAACTTTTTTTAAGTGAAAAATCTTGATTGAAATGACTGAATCTGCTTACCTTCGAAGCCTTTAAGGGATTTACGGACTTTACGAGCACAGCCTTCACAATGCATGTAAACTCTCAACACTATTTCTTGAGGTGGCGGCGGAGGTGCTGGTGTTTCTTCTTTGGTTTCCTCTGTTTTCTTTTCTTCCTTTTTTTCATTATCACCTTTTGGAGCCTCCTCTTTCTTCTCTTCCTCTGGTTTTTTCACTTCTTCTGGTTTCTTCTTCTCTTCCTATATCAAAAAAAAAATCAGAAATTTCAAACAACAAATAACCCAAAAAAAGAGAGAAGAGAGCAAAACAAACCTCGCCCATTGATGTTCTTGGATATGGATAGAGGTAGCTGATAAGCTTAAAGAAATAGAGAGAGAGAGAGAGGGGGTTAAATTGTTTCTCTCTTTTTAAGTATTTTTGTATTTGTGAGTGTTTGGTGTTATTCTCAAGAAAGTTGAAAAGAGAAGGGGTGAGTGATGACCATAGAGGCAGTCACTAACTCACTAATTTTCGTCATCTGAAAAAGCACAACTGGCGTGGCTTTTATATAGGTGGCACGTGTGACGGACATATACTTTGCTACTACTACTACTTACACTATAGTTTTGGCACTGTTCCAGAACATTACGTTGTTTCTTTTTTTTGGTCCTGTGTGTGTGGTTCCGTATTCTTTCTTCTCACTACATCATGGTTTTTGATTTTATTCCTTTCATTTTTATTAAGAAAAAGTCTCATTGTCGTCTGGGACGGAGCCAGCCTTTCGGCTACAGTTCGACCGAATCTAGTAACTTTGGTTCAAACCTTATATTTGTCTTAAAAAATTCATTATATACGTACAAATTACTAAGTTAGAACCCAGTAAATTCAAAGAACTAAAATCCTAAACCCACAAAATTTAAATCTTGGCTTCGCCTCTGATTGTCGCCCTTTAAGTTCTAATTGAACTCCGAGTTGAAATTAATTTTAAATTATAATCTTGAACGGTCAATTTGGATATCATTTTTCACAAAAATTTCGGGCACATGAAATTCAACCATTTCACGCTTATTACCGTTAATGACAAATATATATTTCACAAATGATCATATAGCTATGACTTATTCATATATATAACTTGAAAAAATGGGAGTATTTTGCATGAGATTTTGACAAAAAAAAAAGGTATGGATAACCAAAAAGCTCTTGAAATATTAATACTATCAATTTGAATAAAAATCTTAAAATTAAAAATAAAAATAAGAGTATCGTGTATTTTAAGGAAAGGATACACTTTTAGAGTTTTATTTTTTGGTTACTATGATTATTATGTGAGTTAATGAAGTTTTTATAATTTTTGTACGAGAACATAATTATATGACTTTGATGAAAAAAAATTACCGTTATATGATCATTTGTGAAATTTACTTTTAATGGCAAAAACAATAACGAGATAATACATTGTATTAAGAATATGAATGGACCATAAATACTATGAAGGACAAAATTGAATAATTTCAAATAGTACAGGGCAAAGTTAGGTATTTTCATTAATTTTAAAATAAAAATATGTGATTCATCAAATCAGTAATTGGTATAGACATTTACAACATTTGGTACCTTTTTTTTATTTATAAACATTTGGTACGTTTAAGATGCGATAAACGAGGCCAAATTCAATGGCTACAATTGGTAAAAATCATTGAACTCTAGATAGTTTTGGGCGGGGGATTGAGCCAAACGTGGCTGTTTCATAAAGAATCTGGGGTTAGGATTCATGTAATAGTGTAATACCAAAACAGGATTTCGTGATTTCAATTAAAAATAATGATAACTGGACCACTAAACCAATTGTCACTTAAGTAGATTTCTTCTGATTACTAATCCTGATATCTCATCCTATAAGATAGTATTTGACTGTAGATTAGAATGTCAAGTTAAATATTAGTGACATTTTGATAATGTAATGGATTTTACTAATTAAAAGCTGTTACATTTAGGAAAAATTACGCGATACATTAAATATTTACAATATATTTACCATTCCTAGCTATATTTTCAGCAAATTTACCACTCATAATTATATTTGATTTTTATATCAAATCCATGAAATAAGAGATTAATTATTTTTAACTGAAACAAGAGAGCAACAAGCTCTCGTAACAAAATAGGTTAAAGCCTCTGCTTAGTTAGTAAAGGTCTTGAGTTCTACTATCAATAAGAACATTTTTTTTTTGTATTTATGTACTTATATATTTCGCCTTAGTTGTATTCGTAAATAAATACAGTCGATAAAAGTTGTATACACCATTGTATTTTACCTTGGTTACAGTACATATTATATTCGCTGCACAAAGGAATACAATTGCGCGAACGAGTACAGATGATACACAAAATGTCTATCACACAAGTAGAAAAATGATTGAGTAGTAGAAAAAGTTAATGAGATAGGTAGTCTAGTTTTACAATACATACATACAGCCTAATAAATGGCATGGTACTATGGTAGTGTAGTAGTGTGAGTGCCATGTGGGCTGAAACTAGTTATTACCCTCTTGAATTGTCTCTTTGGTGGGGCATTGTTAAATGTCTTTTTTTAAGTAATCATTCTATAAAATTTTGGATGGAATAATTGATAACTTTTACCCCCTCCTTTTCAATTTACATGGATCACAAAATTTTAAGAAATAATGAATTATTTTAATCATGCTATAAATTTTTTGTGGTTTTAAGGGGAATTTTTTTGTTCTCATTTAATTTTTATATCAACTCATAACAACTCAGTATAGATGAAGTGATTTAATGAACTGAGAATATTTACTAATAAATCATGGTGGAGGAAAAAAATATGCACAGTCGTAAAAACACGTGTTATTTATTTATTAGTGTGATTAAACAGTAGGTGTATGTAAGTTTTTATCATATAAAAGCATGTCATTAAAGATAATAATATAAAAAATTAAATTAAAATATAAATTACTAATTTTTAATAAAATAAACTAATAAAAAAATAATGTGACATAAAATTAAAGGAAGGAATTATCTTTATGTACATGGTGGTCCATGACAATATCTGCTCAACTAGGAAAACAATAAATGCGAATAATCCTGCAAATATTATGTTATATAATGTATGTGTATATGGTGGTCCCTGACAACTGAATAATATAGATTTGGTGGATGAGTAGTAGCCTATTTTAGGTTTGGCACATTTATTTACACCTTGGTATGTACCTGGTAACCATAAGTATTTTTTGTTACTTTTAGGGGACCACTCTTCCTGCTTCGTCTCAATCTGTACGTAATTTGGTTCAAAGTTTGGTCAATATTTCAAAATTAGTCATTTACTCTTTTTCGATCCGTAGACAGTAAATTATCTAAATATTTANAATCTCTGGCTGCATCCTTTCCAACATAGGGTCCCATTCCCTAATCACCACCAGCATAACCTGGTAGTCTTTTCCATTGTAGGGTTCCATTCTCTAGTTGACCCCGACATAACCCGAGGACCTTTTCCTTTCGCTCCCTGGCATAACCCAAGGACCTTTTATCTTTTATCCCGGCATAACCCATGGACCTCCCAAGGACCTTTTTTCTTTTATCCCGGCATGACCCGTGGACCTCCCTGGCATAACCCAAGGACCTTTTTTCTTTTATCCCGGCATGACCCGTGGACCTC